AAAAAGAAGATCTACTTTTTTTACATACTTTCAAATGTTGAAAAAACGTGTATATATACATTTGGACCATTTATGAGTTAAACTGTCATATCTGAGCGCCTCTGCAAAGACAGTGATTATTATGAGTGAGGTGAAAGTGTTGAATGATACTGAAAGTATTTATTTATTTATTTATTTATTTTTTTTTTTTTTTTTTTTTTGGTGGGGGTCACCCTACCTCAGCGGGAGACAACTGATGTGTTGAAAAAAAATTATTATTATTATTATTAGTACATGGGTGTCGTAAGAGGCGAGTAAAATGCCAAGAGCAAGGAGCTAGTAACCACCTCTCCTGTATGAATTACTAAATTTAAAAAGAGAAACTTTCATTTTTCTTTTTGGGCCACTCTGCTTCGGTGGGATACGGCCGGTTTGTTGAAAGAAGATGATTATTATTATTATTATTATTATTATTATAATGGGGAAGTGCTAAACCTGTAGGATTATACAGTGCCTGTTGGGGGGAGGGGATGAAAAGTATTCAGGCTTAATTTAGGGAACTGGAGCACAGATACAATTTCCTAGATCAAGAGCCCCTCACCAGCATCAAGGAACCTCCCTTGAAGGGGAAGCTCTTGTCCTGAATTTTTGCTCGTATCCAGAAACAAAAATCGACTGAGTGACTGCTCGTATCCTGAAAAACCCGTATGGTGGGGCACTTGTAAGCCAAGGTTCTACTGTATAGCATATTTATTATATAATTTTGAAAAAATGTCACAGCAAAGAAATGACTCAGTGTTTAGTGAGCTGATAACTGGACTTAGTTGAAAATCTAAACAATTTTTTTATGACCGAGAATCAAAATTTGGTAAATTTAAAAATCTCTTGTTATTATCCAAACACCTCAAGACTTTGAAAAAGCAGTAAGTGACATACCCATGCACTCGACCCCAGGCTCAGATTCATGGAACTCTGTGTTCATCAAGAACTGCAAGAAGCCTCTTTCACGTGCCTTCAGCAATCTAGGGAGAGGGAGCATGGATGCGGGTCATTCCACAGTCATTAAAAACAACAGACATAGCCCCCCTTCACAAAGGTGGCAGAAAACAGTTGTAAAGAATTATAGACCTATAGCACTGATGTCCCATTTCATAAAAATCTTTGAAAGAAGCAAGCTCACCACCTACCTAGATATCCATTAGTTACACAACCCAGGGCAACATGGGTTTAGAGCAGGCTGCTCATGCCTCTCCCAATTACTGAACCACTATGACAAGGTCTTTATGCACTAGAGGACAAACAAAATGCAGATGTGGCATACAAAGACTTTGCAAAAGCCTTTGACAAGTGTGACCATGGTGTAATAGCACATAAAATTCATGATAAAGGAATAACAAGAAAAGTTGGTAGATGGGTCTATAACTTCCTGACAGATAGAACACAAAGGGTAATAGTAGACAGAGTCTGAGGCAGCCACAGTGAAAAGCTGTTCCACAAGGCACAATACTCACCCCCATCCTGTTCCTTATCCTCATATCTGACATAGACAGAGACATAAGCCATAGCACTGTGTCTTCCTTTGCAGATAACACCCGAATTTGCATGACAGTGTCATCCAACGAAGACACTGAAAGACTCCAAGCGGACATAAACCAAATTTTTACATGAGCGACAAGAAACATTATGAAGTTCAGTGAAGAGAAATCTCAATTACTCCAACATGGAAAACTCGAGGAAATTAAAAGTGTATCAGAGTATAAAACAAATTCCAGTTACACAATTGAGTGAAAAACTAATGTGAAGGACTTAGGAATGATAATGTCAGAGGATCTCACTTTCAAAGATCACAACACTGTATCTACCACAACTGCTAGGAAAATAATAGGATGGATAATGAGAACCTTCAAAACTAGGAATGCCAAGCCCATGATGATTCTCTTCAAATTTGTTCTCTCTAGGCTGGAATATTGCTGTACATGAATCAGGAGGCAGTTAGGGTAAGATATAAACAGCTATTGGAGGATAGATGGGCTAATGAGAGCATAGGCAATGGGGTCGAAGAGGTATGGGGTAGGTTTAAAAATGTAGTGTTAGAGTGTTCAGCAGAAGTTTGTGGTTACAGGAAAGTGGGTGCAGGAGGGAAGAGGAGCGATTGGTGGAATGATGATGTAAAGAGAGTAGTAAGGGAGAAAAAGTTAGCATATGAGAAGTTTTTACAAAGTAGAAGTGATGCAAGGAGGGAAGAGTATATGGAGAAAAAGAGAGAAGTTAAGAGAGGTGGTGAAGCAATGTAAAAAGAGAGCAATGAGAGAGTGGTGAGATGTTATCAACAAATTTTGTTGAAAATAAGAAAAAGTTTTGGAGTGAGATTAACAAGTTAAGAAAGCCTAGAGAACAAATGGATTTGTCAGTTAAAAATAGGAGAGGAGAGTTATTAAATGGAGAGTTAGAGGTATTGGGAAGATGGAAGGAATATTTTGAGGAATTGTTAAATGTTGATGAAGATAGGGAAGCTGTGATTTCGTGTATAGGGCAAGGAGGAATAACATCTTGTAGAGAGTGGGAAGAGCCAGTTGTGAGTGTGGGGGAAGTTCGTGAGGCAGTAGGTAAAATGAAAGGGGGTAAGGCAGCCGGGATTGATGGGATAAAGATAGAAATGTTAAAAGCAGGTGGGATATAGTTTTGGAGTGGTTGGTGCAATTATTTAATAAATGTATGGAAGAAGGTAAGGTACCTAGGGATTGGCAGAGAGCATGCATAGTTCCTTTGTATAAAGGCAAAGGGATAAAAGAGAGTGCAAAAATTATAGGGGGATAAGTCTGTTGAGTGTACCTGGTAAAGTGTATGGTAGAGTTATAATTGAAAGAATTAAGAGTAAGACGGAGAATAGGATTAGCAATGAACAAGGAGGCTTTAGGAAAGTAGGGGGTGTGTGGACCAGGTGTTTTCAGTGAAACATATAAGTGAACAGTATTTAGATAAGGCTAAGAGGTCTTTGGGCATTTATGGATTTGGAAAGGCGTATGACAGGGTGGATAGGGGGGCAATGTGGCAGATGTTGCAAGTTGTATGGTGTAGGAGGTAGGTTACTGAAAGCAGTGAAGAGTTTTTACGAGGATAGTGAGGCTCAAGTTAGAGTATGTAGGAAAGAGGGAAATTTTTTCCCAGTAAAAGTAGGCCTTAGACAAGGATGTGTGATGTCCCGTGGTTGTTTAATATATTTTATAGATGGGGTTGTAAGAGAAGTAAATGCGAGGGTCTTGGCAAGAGGCGTGGAGTTAAAAGATAAAGAATCACACACAAAGTGGGGAGTTGTCACAGCTGCTCTTTGCTGATGACACTGTGCTCTTGGGAGATTCTGAAGAGTAAGTTGCAGAGATTGGTGGATGAATTTGGTAGGGTGTGCAAAAGAAGAAAATTAAAGGTGAATACAGGAAAGAGTAAGGTTATGAGGATAACAAAAAGATTAGGTGATGAAAGATGAATATCAGATTGGAGGGAGAGAGTATGGAGGAGGTGGAACGTTATCAGATATTTGGGAGTGGACGTGTCAGCAGATGGGTCTATGAAAGATGAGGTGAATCATAGAATTGATGAGGGAAAAAGAGTGAGTGGTGCACTTAGGAGTCTGTGGAGACAAAGAACTTTGTCCTTGGAGGCAAAGAGGGGAATGTATGAGAGTATAGTTTTACCAACGCTCTTATATGGGTGTGAAGCGTGGGTGATGAATGTTGCAGCGAGGAGAAGGCTGGAGGCATGGAGATGTCATGTCTGAGGGGAATGTGTGGTGTGAATATAATGCAGAGAATTCGTAGTTTGGAAGTTAGAGGAGGTGCGGGATTACCAAAACTGTTGTCCAGAGGGCTGAGGAAGGGTTGTTGAGGTGGTTCGGACATGTAGAGAGAATGGAGCGAAACAGAATGACTTCAAGGTGTATCAGTCTGTAGTGGAAGGAAGGCGGGGTAGGGGTCGGCCTAGGAAGGGTTGGAGGGAGGGGGTAAAGGAGGTTTTGTGTGCGAGGGGCTTGGACTTCCAGCAGGCATGCGTGAGCGTGTTTGATAGGAGTGAATGGAGACAAATGGTTTTTAATACTTGACGTGCTGTTGGAGTGTGAGCAAAGTAACATTTATGAAGGGATTCAGGGAAACCGGCAGGCCGGACTTGAGTCCTGGAGATGGGAAGTACAGTGCCTGCACTCTGAAGGAGGGGTGTTAATGTTGCAGTTTAAAAACTGTAGTGTAAAGCACCCTTCTGGCAAGACAGTGATGGAGTGAATGATGGTGAAAGTTTTTCTTTTTCGGGCCACCCTGCCTTGGTGGGAATCGGCCGGTGTGATAATAAAAAAAAAAAAAAAAAAATGAATCAGAGCCGTTTAAACAAATTTTTGGCAATAATTTGAACTGTCCATATTAGTGAAGTGCCATAAAGCGGGGCTCTCCTGTACCTATATTTTCATTGTTAGTATAGGTCATTTCACAAATTGTGCCCTTGCAAAAGTGCACAAACATAACAGTTAAGTGATTCACCAAAATACATCATCCCCACTCATCCTTCCATGCCAGGCACTATACTTACCAACTTCAGACCTTAGGTCTGGTTGACCATTTTTCCTGAATCTCTTCATAGATGTTACTTGCTCACACTCCAACATGTCAGAGACCAGAAAACCACTCTGTTAATTGTGATTTCAGTTTGTTTTGATAAGTTCTGTTGTTTTGTTGCCTTGAAGTTATTTTGTGTGGCCTTATTTCATGCTTGAGCATTTTAAGTGTCATTCATATATACTATTTCTGCAGTCTAACACAGTTCTATTTAACATTCATGTAGCACACCCTTCAAGGGAGTGCATGATGCTGGTGAAGGACTCTTGGTCTATGGAATCTGAGCTATCCCTCTCCTAGATCAAAGTCGATTAGTTTCCATTCTCCTGCCATTGTGTGACCCCCAATGGGTTTAAGGCTTTCCATAAGTACTGTATAATAGTATAGTGCAGGAGACTAATAAAATTATAATGTGAATGGGACTGTATTTATCAGGTTAGCCAACGTGTGGAATGGGAACGTCACCAGGCTGCTGTTCGCAAGCGTGAGGAGGAAGATGCAGAGCGAGAACGCCTTGAATATGCTGCCATTGACTGGCATGACTTCACTGTTGTAGAAACTATTGATTATCAGTCATGGGAAGTTGGCTCATTCCCTCCACCCACTACAGCAGCAGAGGTAGGTCGACGTGTCCTCTTACAGGAACGCATAGAGGAAGGAGTTGCTCCTGATACAGACATGGTTTTGGGCAGTGATGATGAAGAAGAGCCTGAGGAAGAACAAGGTGCACCAGGTGATAGAGATGATACTCAAGTTCAAGACATGGATGAAGAAAGTAGTGAGGAAGAAGAGTCAGATGATGAGCCACCACCCCCACAGCAGCAACCACAGCCACAGCCACAACAACAACAAACAACAACAACAACAACAACAACAGCAGCAGCAGCAGCTGCAGCAACAGCTGCAGCAACAGCAACAGCAGCAGCAACAGCAGCAGCAACAGCAGCAGCAACAACAACAACAACAACAACAACAACAACAACAACAACAACAACAACAACAGAAGCCAGAAATTAAATTGCCGCAACCACCATTGCCCCGAGAGCCTCCTCAACCTGCTCCAGCACCACCAGTCGCAGGGCAAGTAGTGGTTAAAGATTATAACCCTCGTCAACAGCCCCGCACAACCCCAGGTACAACAGGTGCCTCTGATCAGTATCTTGTTTCACCCATTACAGGAGAGCGCATTGCCCCTGATAAAGTGGGTCAGCATTTACGTATCAATATGTTAGATCCTCGCTGGCTTGAAGATCGTGATCGCCAGAATGCAGAGCGATCCAATCAAGATACTGTCTTTGCAACAGGTGATTCTATTCGTTCATCTTTGAAGCAACTGGCAGAACGACGTACTGATATTTTTGGAGCAGGAGATGAAGAGACAATTATTGGTAAGAAGATTGGAGAGGAGGAAAAGCGTGAGGAGAAAGTTACGTGGGATGGACACACTGGTTCCATGGAAGCAGCTACACGTGCTGCTAGGGCCAACATTTCCATTAATGAGCAGATTCATCAGATTCATAAAGTAAAAGGTCTATTACCAGATCAAGAAAAAGAGAAGATTGGTCCTCAGCCAAAACTTCCATCTTCAGTCCCTCCCACAAATGTAAACCATTCACGTCCAGCTCCACCACCACCGCCACCACCACCAAAACCACAGCAACCCCCGGCAAAGCCACAGCCACCACCACCACCCCCACCCCCAAAATCTATTCCACAGCCAGCACCTGCACCCCCTCCACCACCACCAAAGCCTTCAGTAGTGACACCCCCTCAATCTATGATGACTGTCAATATTGGTGGGCCACTGCCACCACCTATGGCTCCCATGGTTCCCCCTGGCAGTGGTGTAATGGTGGTACCACGCCCACCAGTCATGATGGCTCCTCGACCAGGTGGCTTTATGCCTGGACCTCCTGCTCCACCAGTACCTGGCTTCATGACATCACAGCCACAACCAGCACCACCCACTGGACCACAGCCTCCTGTTGGTGGCCCTCCAATGGGAGGTATGGGAGGTGGACCTGATAAAGATGACGATGATGGTCCTGCAGCCAAAAGAGCTCGTACAGAGGAGAATCTAGTGCCTGAATCTGAATGGGCACGTCGTTTTAATGGTCCTGTAAAGTTCCAGGTTGCAATTCCAGTTGTGGCAGATAAACCAGAGTGGCGATTAGCTGGCCAGGCTCTGTCTTTGACTCTTCCTTTAACTGACCCAGTCTCTGTGGTCAAGGCCAAAGTTCATGATGAGACTGGCTTGCCTCCTGGTAAACAGAAGTTAGCTCGAGATGGCCTTTTCTTCAAAGATTCTCAATCACTAGCTTTTTACAATGTTGGCCATGGTACAATAATACAGTTACAGCTGAAGGAGCGTGGTGGCCGCAAGAAGTAAATGTATTGCAATTTTCAGGCTTAAGAATTTGCAAGTATTTCACTAGATATGTTGTAGTTCAAAATACGTTAAACTATTTTAGTAACAGCCACTGCAGTGATTTGAGTAAGTATTATTCATGGTTAGAGAATCTGTGTTAAGTTCAACAAAAATCTAATTTTCCTCATGAAGGGCAGATGTAAAATGATAAGCCACATACTCATTAATGTTTCTAGAATGAAGTTAAAAACTGTGGTACTTCTAATATTTTTACCTAAGTAAAGAATTGACAGCATATAGAAATGAATTTTTGTATTTTAAGTTTAACTTTCCATTAATTCAAATAATACTGTATGTTAAAATAAAAATTATAAATAGCAAACTGAAAACTATTTACACCATTTAGTGTCAAAAGTTTGTATACTTACAGGTATTAATAAACTATTAATATTATTAATTCATTTCCTAGCCTGCAGCCTATTAACCCCTTCACTATTGGAAGCCCCAAAATTAAGAGTGCTGACAATGTTGGCCTATTTAAAAATATATATTTATTTATTTATTTATTTATCAATTTGAACATGATACATTGAAGTGCAGAAAAATACAGTGGTTAAGTGTAACATGCCAAAGCCCCTTGTATGCAGAGCATTATGGGCAGGCTTAAAATTAACTTAAGATTAACTAAGCAATGATATATTCAGTGGTAAACATTATTGTAAATAGATAACAATTAAGCACAAATGAGAATTTCAAAGACTGGTCATATGGTCATTTACTGTGTTGCTGAGCATTCAGTAGAATGGAGTATTCTGTTAGGTAATGCAATTAAAAATAACAAAGTTTGATTGGGTCACAGGTTAAACATTTATGAGATACAATTATTCAGTATTTATTTAGTTGTGGGTAAGTAATTTTTAAGTAGAGACTTGAATTTATAAACAAACAGTGTTTCTTTTATATTCACAGGTAATGAATTCCAGATTTTTGGGTCTTTTATGTGCATTGAGTTTTTGCATAGCATGAGATGGACATGAGGAACATCAAAGAGTGATCTGTGTCTTGTGTTATGGTCATGTGTTCTGTTGAGGTTGGTAAGATGTTTGAGGGGAGGGTTTATATCCGAGTTAAGTGTTCTATGTATGTAGGAACAATAATAACTATGTTTTGTATGGTGAGTAGGTTTAGAGTTTTGAATATTGGTGGAGTGTGCTGCCTGTAGTGGGAATTTGTTATCATTCTAACTGCAGCCTTTTGTTGGGTAATTAATGGTCTGAGATGGTTTATTGTTGTTGAGCCCCATGCACAAATTCCATAAGTGAGATAGGGGTAAATAAGGGAGTGATATAGGGCCAGGAGGGCTGACTGTAGAACATAGTACCCTATCTTCGATAGTATGCCGACGGTCTTGGAAATTTGCTGTATATGTGTTTGAAATTTGAGTCTATTATCTAGGTGGATTCCTAAGAATTTTCTGTCTGTGAGCTTTGTGATAGGTGATCCATTTATCATGATGTTAAGAGGGACATCTGTAGCTCTGTTACCAAACTGAATGAAGTAGGTTTTGTCAATGTTGAGAGTAAGTTTGTTAGTCCTCATCCAGGTAGATATTTTCTGTAATTCAGTATTCACAGTATTGGCTAGCATGACTGGGCTCGGGTGAGAGAAGACGCATGTAGTGTCATCTGCAAATAGTGTGGGTTTGAGTAGTTGCGATGCATTTGGTAGGTCATTTATGTAAACGAGAAAGAGAAGAGGGCCAAGGACACTTCCCTGTGGGACACCAACTGTAATTGGTTGTGCGGAAGAGTTTGCTCCATTTGTGTACACACATTGGCTTCTGTTGCTGAGGTATGACTTCAGGTAGTTGAGGGAATGCCCTCTTATACCATAGTGCGACAATTTTATGTGGAACAAGTCATGGTCAACTGTATCAAAAGCTTTACTACTCATACTATATATATATATATATATATATAATAAATATATATAATATATATATATATATAATATATATATATATATATATATACAACACACACACACACACACACACACACACACACACACACACACACACACACACACACACACACACACACACACACACACACACACACACACACACAACACACTTACTTATATATACACTTAGGTCACACTACACATACATGTACACGTTTATTTATACACACTCATCTGAGTTTTCTTTGATTTTATCTTAATAGTTCTTGGTCTTATTACTTTTCCTTTTATATCCATGGGGAAGTGGAATAAGAATCTTTCCTCCGTAAGCCATGCGTGTTGTAAAAGTCAACTAAAATGCCGGGAACAATGGGCTGGCAACCCCTTTTCCTGTAAAGATTACTAAAAAGAATAAGAAGAAGAAAATTGTCAAAGTGGGAAGTCTGAATGTGCGTGGATGTTGTGCAAATGATAAGAAAGAGATGATTGTGGATGTTATGAATGAGAAGAAACTGGATGTCCTGGCTTTAAGTGAAACAAAGCTGAAGGGGGTGGGAGAGTTTCAATGGAGAGGAATAAATGGGATTAGGTCAGGGGTTTCAAATAGAGTTAGAGCTAAAGAAGTTTCAAATAGAGTTAGAGCTAAAGAAGGAGTAGCAATAATGTTGAAGGATAAGCTATGGCAGGAAAAGAGGGACTACAAATGTATTAATTCAAGGATTATGTGGAGTAAAATAAAGATTGGAGGTGAAAAGTGGGTTATAGTAAGCGTGTATGCACCTGGAGAAGAGAGAAGTGTAGAGGAGAGAGAGAGATTCTGGGAAATATTGAGTGAATGCATGGGGAGTTTTGAATCAAGTGTGAGAGTAATGGTGGTTGGGGATTTCAATGCTAAAGAGGGTAAAAATGTTATAGAGGGAGTAGTAAGTAAATTTGGGGTGCCAGGGGTAAATGTAAATGGGGAGCCTTTAATTGAGCTATGTGTACAAAGAAATTTGGTAATAAGTAATACATATTTTATGAAAAAGAGGATAAATAAATACACAAGGTATGATGTAGCACGTAATGAAAGTAGTTTGTTAGATTATGTATTGGTGGATAAAAGGTTGATGGGTAGGCTCCAGGATATACATGTTTATAGAGGGGCAACTGATATATCGGATCATTATTTAGTTGTAGCTACAGTTAGAGTAAGAGGTAGATGGGAAAAGAGGAAGGTGGCAACAACAAGTAAGAGGGAGGTGAAAAGTGTTATAAACTAAGGGAGGAGGAAGTTTCGGGCGAGATATAAGCGACTATTGGCAGAAAGGTGGGCTAGTGCAAAGATGAGTAGTGGGGGGGTTTAAGAGGGTTGGAATAGTTTTAAAAATGCAGTATTAGAATGAGGGGCAGAAGTTTGTGGTTATAGGAGGGTGGGGGCAGGAGGAAAGAGGAGTGATTGGTGGAATGATGAAGTAAAGGGTGTGATAAAAGAGAAAAAGGTAGCTTACGAGAGGTTTTTACAAAGCAGAAGTGTTATAAGAAGAGCAGAGTATATGGAGAGTAAAAGAAAGGTGAAGAGAGTGGGGAGAGAGTGCAAAAGGAGAGCAGATGAAAGAGTGGGAGAGGCACTGTCAAGAAATTTTAATGAAAATAAGAAAAATTTTTGGAGTGAGTTAAACAAGTTAAGAAAGCCTAGGGAAAGTATGGATTTGTCAGTTAAAAACAGAGTAGGGGAGTTAGTAGATGGGGAGAGGGAGGTATTAGGTAGATGGCAAGAATATTTTGAGGAACTTTCAAATGTTGAGGAAGAAAGGGAGGCGGTAATTTCATGCAATGGCCAGGGAGGTATACCATCTTTTAGGAGTGAAGAAGAGCAGAATGTAAGTGTGGGGGAGGTACGTGAGGCTTTACGTAAAATGAAAGGGGGTAAAGCAACTGGAACTGATGGGATCATGACAGAAATGTTAAAAGCAGGGGGGGATATAGTGTTGGAGTGGTTGGTACTTTTGTTTAATAAATGTTTGAAAGAGGGGAAGGTACCTAGGGATTGGCGGAGAGCATGTATAGTCCCTTTATATAAAGGGAAAGAGGACAAAAGAGATTGTAAAAATTATAGAGGAATAAGTTTACTGAGTATACCAGGAAAAGTATACGGTAGGGTTATAATTGAAAGAATTAGAGGTAAGACAGAATGTAGGATTGCGGATGAGCAAGGAGGCTTCAGAGTGGGTAGGGGATGTGTAGATCAAGTGTTTACATTGAAGCATATATGTGAACAGTATTTAGATAAAGGTAGGGAAGTTTTTATTGCATTTATGGATTTAGAAAAGGCATATGATAGAGTGGATAGAGGAGCAATGTGGCAGATGTTGCAAGTATATGGAATAGGTGGTAAGTTACTAAATGCTGTAAAGAGCTTTTATGAGGATAGTGAGGCTCAGGTTAGGGTGTGTAGAAAGAGAGGGAGACTACTTCCCGGTAAAAAGTAGGTCTTAGACAGGGATGTGTAATGTCACCATGGTTGTTTAATATATTTATAGATGGGGCTGTAAAAAAAAGTAAATGCTAGGGTGTTCGGGAGAGGGGTGGGATTAAATTATGGGGAATCAAATTCAGAATGGGAATTGACACAGTTACTTTTTGCTGATGATACTGTGCTTATGGGAGATTCTAAAGAAAAATTGCAAAGGTTAGTGGATGAGTTTGAGAATGTGTGTAAAGGTAGAAAGTTGAAAGTGAACATAGAAAAGAGTAAGGTGATGAGGGTATCAAATGATTTAGATAAAGAAAAATTGGATATCAAATTGGGGAGGAGGAATATGGAAGAAGTGAATGTTTTCAGATACTTGGGAGTTGACGTGTCGGCGGATGGATTTATGAAGGATGAGGTTAATCATAGAATTGATGAGGGCAAAAAGGTGAGTGGTGCGTTGAGGTATATATGGAGTCAAAAAACGTTATCTATGGAGGCAAAGAAGGGAATGTATGAAAGTATAGTAGTACCAACACTTATATGGATGTGAAGCTTGGGTGGTAAATGCAGCAGCGAGGAGACGGTTGGAGGCAGTGGAGATGTCCTGTCTAAGGGCAATGTGTGGTGTAAATATTATGCAGAAAATTTGGAGTGTGGAAATTAGGAGAAGGTGTGGAGTTAATAAAAGCATTAGTCAGAGGGCAGAAGAGGGGTTGTTGAGGTGGTTTGGTTATTTAGAGAGAATGGATCAAAGTAGAATGACATGGAAAGCATATAAATCTATAGGGGAAGGAAGGAGGGGTAGGGGTCGTCCTCCAAAGGTTTGGAAAGAGGGGGTAAAGGAGGTTTTGTGGGCTAGGGGCTTGGACTTCCAGCAAGCGTGCATGAGCATGTTAGATAGGAGTGAATGGAGGAGAATGATACTTGGGACCTGACGATCTGTTGGAGTGTGAGCAGGGTAATATTTAGTGAAGGGATTCAGGGAAACCGGTTATGTTCATATAGTCGGACTTGAGTCCTGGAAATGGGAAGT